ATCTGTTAGTCTTTAAGGTGCCACCAGACTCCTTGTTGTTTTTGTAGATACAAACTAACACGGCTACCCCCTGATACTATCTGAAACCTAAAATACATGTCTTCGAGCCATGTAACATCAGCAAAGAACGTGAACTCTTGAGTGAGGCAGGGTGACTCCCTGGTGTCTGGCTTGCGGGGCTGTGAACAGTAGAGCTGAGCAAGCAATGGCATTGCTTCTCCTGAGCGGGGAAACTATAACAAGGTCCCTTTCCCCCCTCAGTCTGTTCAATGGCAGTGAAATGGCTGTGAAAAGGTTTTTGCCAAAGAGTCACTTATCCACAGTCATCATCCGTGACAACACCAGTGTCCAGCGAATTCAGGAGATCAAGGTAACGCTCACACCCTTTCTCTGGCATTTGGAGAGACCCCCAGCACAATGACTAGAGCAAGCCAGGACTCTACCCCCAGCACACTGAACTCCTCTCTCTGAGCTAGAGGTGAAGGGCTCTGTAGCCCTGCTCCAAGGCCCTGAGCCATCTCGTCCCCAGAATAAAAGCATTGTTGACTTCATTTAGAAATGAGCTGAAATGGCTGCTGGCCCAGCGGCCATAGTGAGAAAGAAGGTCTGGTTTCAAGGCTTGAATCCAGTTGTCTTGCTGTGAAGGTTGGGAACACCATGGAGGCAACATTCAATTCCTAGTGTAAAAGGAGGGTTTGTTTGCTGCACCAGTGAGCCCTGCTGGTCATGTCTGGGAAAGGTCTAGGGAGGTCTAGGTTGGATATTAGGAAAAACTATTTCACTAGGAAGGTGAAGCACTGGAATGGGGAGGTGGTGGAATCTTCATCATTAGAGGTTTTTAAGGCCCGGCTTGACAAAGCCCTGGCTGAGATGATTTAGTTGGGGTTGGTCCTGCTTTGAGCAGTGGGTTGGACTAGATGACCTCCTGAGGTCTCTTCCAATCCTAATCTATGATTCTATAATTCTATGACTTCTCAATGGAGTCCCTTCTACCTTCTCCGCAGCAGAAGACATTGGGAGGCCACCTCTGATTATGGATGAGGCAGGATCTGAGGACCATCTTATTCATGATGTGTCCTATAAGTGCTGAGCACTCTGGTCCCGATCCAACAAAGCACTGGAGCACATGCTTAACTGTAAGTGCGCAGGTAGTGTCATTGTCTTCATTGACATTAGTCATGTGATTCAGTGCTTTATATGGATCAGGGCAAACCTTGCAGGATCTCTATCCAAGGGCCAGGGCCGGCTCCAGGGTTTTGGCCGCCCCAAGCAGCCAAAAAAAAAAAAAAAGCCGAACCCGGGCTGCGGCGGCAATTCGGCGGATGGTCCCTCACTCCCGCTGGGAGCAAAGGACCTCCCGCCGAATTGCCGCCGAATACCTGGACGTGCCGCCCCTCTCCGGAGCGGCCGCCCCAAGCACCTGCTTGCCAGGCTGGTGCCTGAGCCGGCCCTGCCAAGGGCTCTCCTCAGGGGAGTGGGAAGCTAGAGGGAGAGAGAGCATTTTGAATAAGGAAGCCATCGGCTTTTCATGAAGGCTGCAGTAGAGTGCTGATTCTCCCTCATGATATTAAGATATGGGTGTTTTCTGATTGGCATGGTCTGTCTGGGAGTTAGTCCTATATGGAACATTAAGACCATAGGGAATCTCCATCCTCTGGGATGTTAGGGGGCTCAAGCTGGACAAGAAGTGATCAGCCTGCTCAAAATATCCAGGAAGAGCGAGCAGTGCTTGTGATGCAGGACTGACACGTAAAGCACGGAGACCCAGCTCCTCAAAGATATCTCCAGTTAGGTGCCTTTGAGCATCTGACCACCCAGCTCCCTGAGAGTGGGAAATAGCCACAGCTGTCAGGCGTTTATAAGATTTCAGGAATCAGTTCCCTCTTGTTCTGCTCTACTTGGCTATAGATAAAACGTTGATGGGCACATTAGAGATACCAGGGGAGATTACCTCATCTCAGCACTGCACAGATTGGGGTCCTTTTATACTACTCAGGTTCTTGTCCCTATGATAGCAGAACAAGGATACAGATATTAAACAAGGAGACTGGCCCTACACATAACTCAATGGCATTTCTGTCTGTATGCAAGGCAGTAACTTTTGAACACTGAATCCAGTCAATTCCAGACTGTCAGGGAGTGTTCTTGGACTCAGTGGGCAGAACTCTGTTGATCCTGGTGAAAGCCAGAAAAGCCGGTAAGGAGGCAGAGGCACTTGACCAATCTTCCCAGACCAATGTTCAGAGAAGGGTTGTTACTGTGAAAGCCCAGGGAGTGGGGGAGGATCCTGGAGGACACCTCTTTCCCCAAAGGCTATCCCCACTTTGCAGCTTTTTTGAACCATCACTGGATCCTGTGCTGAAAATCACACGTTTGTTGTCCTAAAGGTAAATCACTTGGAGGAGACAAGAATAAAGACCAGCCACTTTTATGAGCACTTAAAGAAGAAGTTCACGAGTGACCAGCAGAAGAAGATATCACGGTGGAAGAAGGAGTCTGATAAATTTGGGAAAATACTGGAGCTGATCAATCAGAGAACCAAGAACTTGGCGATCGCTTCTGCTAGTCTGACTATGAGGAAGTCCCAAGAAGGCAGCCAGAAAACAATCCCCAAGAAAGAAGCAACCGTAATGTTTGAAAAATGATCCAGAGAGGCGTTCATCCAGCACCCCTGTCAGGCTGTTTCTAATGAGTTTCTTTTCAACATCTCTGACACTCAGTTTGTCTTTTTAGCAAAGAGGAGATGAAGAGAGTTAAAGCTAGTGCAGGTCTTAGTTGTTTCAGCAATAAACTAATAGAAATGCATTGAATAGCCATTCCCTTTCTGCTACTTCTCTTGATAATCTGTTTTGAACCGATGAGTTTAAGTCTCTTGGGATGGTGAGTGAAGTGGAGCTGGGAGCAGTGCAGTAAGGGACAGATGTAGGAAGGAAAGAATTTTCGAGGGACTGATTTGCACTTTTAGAACAGAAACATATTTTATTTGGGTGGAACTTTCTACTTGGCTTATGCCCCTGTAAAGGTTTAACCTGAATCCAAATGGAAAGGGTAGGAGCTTGTCTGAGGACAAACAGATTTCTGGGAATGTTGGCAAAAGCTCCATGAGGGTGAAGAAGTCCCTTGTGGGGGAGGAGGGAGAGGGATTGCTTGCTGGAGGAGGTTGGGAGTAAGAGAAAGGGGTGAGGAGCTGAGACTGAGAAAATGTCTTCAGTACTCTAGGTATAATTTCTGGGGAAGCAGTACTCATAGAATCAGAGATTCCAAGGCCAGAAGGGACCACTGTGATCATCTAGTCTGACCTCCTGTATCACACAGGCCAGAGAACTGCCCTAAGTAATTCCTAGGGCAGAGTTTTTAGAAAAACACCCAGTCTTGATTTAAAAATTGCCAGTGTTGAAGAATCCACCAGATCCCTTGGTAAATTGTTCCAATGGTTATTTACTCTTACTGTTAAAAATTTACACCTTATTTCCGGTCTGAATTTGTCTAGCTTCAAATTTCAGTCATTGGAGTGTGATTGATACCTTGCTCTGCTAGATTGAAGAGCCCATTATTAACTGTGTGTTCCCCAAAGGTATAGACTGCAATCAAATCACCTCTTAACCTTCTCTTTGTTAAGCTAAATGGATTGCGCTGCTCAAGTCTGTCACTGTAAGGCATGTTTTCCAATCCTTTAATTATTCTCCTGGCTCGTCTCTGAACCTTCTCCAGTTTATCAGCATCCTTCTTAAACTGTGAACACCAGAACTGGACACAGGTTTCCAGCTGTGGCTGCACCAGTGCCAAATACAGAGGTAAATTACCCTCTCTACTTCTCTCTGGATCCTCTAAATCCCCCATTGCCCCAGTGCACCTTGCTAACCCTACACCCCTCTATCCCTAATCCCCGCATTCACTTATCTTGGGTTCCCATGGACACCCCTACCCCACAGTCTGGCGCTCCCCCATATATCCCAGACAGTCATTCACAAGCTTGAGCCCCCCACTGCCTACCGACCTTCTCCATCAATGACCCCTGTGGCCGGGAAGAGGGGGCATGCTCCCATCTTGGCTGGGCTTGGTGTGTGCAGGGGCAAATTTCTTCCTGTCTTGAGTGTGTTGAGCTGAAGGTTTTTTGCTCCCTCGGGGTGGGGTTCTCTCTGCCCCTGCGGTCCCTGTAGCATGGCTGAGCTCTTGTCATGTTCCTTTTTCATTTGGTACCTCATTATACATTTTCCTAGGCAGCGAGTACCTTTGTTGGCAGGTGCACCAGATAAGACTATACATCCTTTTTGGATAGTCGTAAAGGTGTGTGGGTAGGATGGCCACATGACTGCTGGTTTCTCAGGGCAGGTTGGCTCCAGGAAGGTGACTACAGCTACTGAGTTTTCCTCCCTCCTATGTTTCTGTCTCTCTCTCTCTCTTCTCTCATGTGGGCCAACACGTGCTCTCTCTCTCCTTGCCTCTGCTTGTACTGTCTCCCTTCATAGGACATGGGCAGGTGTGCTAGAGCTTCATCCCCACAGACTTGGTCACAAGAGCCTACAAGACGGGGTGATGGGGAGGGGTAGGTGAGAAACATGCTGGGCACTGGTGCTGCTGTGGCAATGCTGGTGGGGTGACTGGCCAAGAGACCCATCGGTGAGGAGTTTCTCTCTGTTCATGCAGTGGGGGGCATCTAGAATGGATGTGAGAGGGAGGCAGGGAGAGCAAAATCTCCTGCACCAATAGAGTTTTGGACAGTGATGGCACTTCCTTGGGTTCTTCGCTATGCTTGCAGAGGACTCCTCCAGGCCAGTAGCACAGCCCAGGAGCCCCAGCCAGAGGAGGACAGTCTGGAAGAAGTGGACCCGAGCAATCTAGACATCCGGCTTGGCAGTCGCACTGAGCAGCCCTCGAGTCCTGTCTGGTGGTGACGGTGATGAAGGAGGAGCAGGTGTCAATTTCAGAAAAATTATGTCTCTCTATCCAGTGTCTGAGTAGCAAAGTCCCACCCTGAGAGCAGAGAGATGCTTCTCGTTTCCCCAGGACCAATCCCATGGAAGGAGGAGCTCTGCCTTTGGCTTGTAATTGTCTGGGATTGTCCCCTACCCCCTCTTCCCCAGGACTAAATGTGAAGAAGGGTGACCTGTGTGCAACTAGAGATGAAACCGGAGTTTTTTCTGGTCTGTCCTTCCACATCACTGGGTGTATGTCATTGGACACCACATTGTTCTTGATGTGCATACTCCATCATCCCTTTCTTCAGAGGACCAGAGCATCCCGGGTAGGCAGGGTCTCTCTCATGGGGTCAGAGTGTGGAGTAGGGTGACCAGACAGCAAGTGTGAAAAATCAGGATGGGGGTGGGGGGTAATAGGAGCCTATATAAGAAAAAGACCCAAAAATCAGGACTGTCCCTATAAAATCGGGACATCTGGTCACTCTAGTGTGGAGAGACCTGGGGGGCTGTAGTTCCTTTTCAGTTCTGACCATTTCAGGCACTGGGTAGGCTGGAGGGGAATAGAGAAGGGGGCTCCAAGGAGCAGTAGCCAGTTGACGATTTTGTGTGTCTGTCCTCCTCACACCAGTGGTGCCCTAAGTTACAAGTGTTCTCTCTCTCTCTCTCTCTCACTCTCTCGTTTCAGTTCTTAATGCCATTGTGTAGATGGGAGAATGGCCAGCCTGTAGCAGAGATCAAGAGAAGCAGCAGCCACCTGGAGCCCCTCCCAGGGGATAGAAGCTTGACAGTGAGCTGTGGAGTAAGAGCAAATGGAAATTTGCTTTCCAGGAAGCTACTGTACTTCAGGAAGACTCCCATCACCACTCACAACTCCTTGAGAGGGCTGAAAGGGCTCCCCCCAGCTCATGGGGCCCCAGTTAGGGGCAGAGGCCTTTCCCCAGGACCACCCCAAGCTAACATAACAAATTCTCTCCACAGACAACAGTCTTTGAAGCCCTCTCTCAGTAGTTAACTTGTCCAACTTGCATATAACCAGAGCTGCTCAGTCCTAAATTTATTCCTTCCACATCAGTGAGTGGTATTCCCTGGTCACGGCACTCCTCGTCCTCCTCTCTACTGACTCAGACCTCTGTGGGGTAAAGGCGAAGGACAAGAACAAGAGAATGTAGTGTGGGGTGATGATTTTGGGTGTGGGAGTAGCCAGGACTGCTTTGGGGAGATGTAGGGAAAGTCCTTCTGGAACAGCAAGCAGGGCCAGCTCTAGGGTTTTTGCTGCCCCAAGCAAAAAAAAAAAAAAGTGTCAGGAATGCCGCCCCTGGAATTGTGCCGCCCCAGGCACATGCTTGGTTTGCTGGTGCCTAGAGCCGGTCCTGACAGCAAGCACCGGAGACACATACCAGTAAAGTTTCTGCCACGAATTTGATCTTTGTGGTTTTTATTTTCTGCAAGGGAGAACGGATGAAGAATAATTTCAGCTCTGGCCTGAGATTGAGAGGTAGGACAGCCTGTCTTTAAGACAGATGCCAGGGAATGTCAGATGAGAGCAGAGGGCTGTTACTCTCAGTAAGATCAGGGATGGTGGTGGGGGAGGTCACACGGGGAATTATAAGCATCCCAAAATTTGCCTACCCTCCATAGCCACCCATGACAGCGCAAATGTCACTGCTGCTCCAGGGGAGAAACACTCTGTGCATTACCATAACTGGCCATTGGGTATCACTGCTGCCCTGTGGGAAATGCACATGGGCTATAGCCAGGGTGGGCAAACTTTTTGGCCTGAGGGCCACTTTGGGGTTGCAAAACTGTATGGAGGGCCGGGTAGGGAAGGCTGTGCCCAGGACCAGCTCCAGGGTTTTTGCCACCCCAAGCGGCAGGGGGGAAGCCACAATCGCAATTGCGATTGGCAGCGCTCCAGCGGCAGCTCCGCCACGCCACTTTCTTCAGCGGGAATTCAGCGGCAGGTGCTTCCCTCTGAGAGGGTTCCACCTCCGAATTGCCGCCAAAGAGCCTGACATGCCGCCCCTTCCCCTTGGCCGCCCCAAGCACCTGCTTGCTGGGCTGGTGCCTGGAGCCGGCCCTGGCTGTGCCTCCCCAAACAGCCTGGCCCCAGCCCCCTATCCGCCCCCTCCCACTTCCTACCCCCTGACTGCCCCCCTCAGAACCTCCGACCCATCCAACCCCCTGATCCTTGTCCCCTAACCACCCCCTCCTGGGACCCCCTGCCCCTAACCGCTCCCCTGGGACCCCACCCCCTATCCAATCTCCCTGCTCCCAGTCCCCTGACTGCTCTGACCCATATCCACACCCCTGCCCCTTAACGGGCCCCCCAGGACTCCACACCTATCCAACCCCCCATTCCCCATCCCCTGATCCCTATCCATACCCCCACCCCTGACAGGCCCCCCTGGGACTCCCACACTTCCGCTTCCCGTGAGTCTGGGGGGCAGGGGAACCTTTCCCTAACCCTTCCCCCCCGAGCGACACGGCTGAGGCCGGGGCCGCATCACTCCGCTACCCGCCACCAGCCAGTGCAGGGGGCGTCCGTTCCCCAACCTCCCCGCACTCACCGGCGGTAGGAAGTGGAGCGCCACGGCTGGGAGCTGGCGGAATAGAGTGGGCTGGGTCTGGGCTGCTCCGCTTCCCGCCGCTGCCGCTGAGTGAGGGGTCGCTGGGGGAAGAGGTGGAATGGGGGCGGGCCAGGGGCGGAG